TAAATTGGAGTCCAAGGCAGAACTTTCCTCAAAATTCCAATTTATTAATGTTGGTACATCTGTGGAAACCCAAATCTGAAAGCTTCCCGGTTTTCCCCACCCAGTTTAAAGTTGAAGATCTTGCCTCCACACCCATCTTTGGTTTGCGTTAAAACAACTTCAACACACACAATGTTCTGATTGCACCACAAACGCAGTAGTCATCCTTACCTTTCACAGAGGCACTGAGTTTTATAAATAGGAGCATGATAGTGTAGAATAATCATATCCAAGGACTGATGGTGGGTTTCAAAAACATTTGGAACCTCTTCTGTAGGTGTGGCCTGCTTTCCGGGTCCACTGGTGGAACTTCTAACTGGTTCGGTAGATTTGACGAACCGGTTCTACCGAATAGGTGCGAACTGGTAGGAACCCACCTCTGATTTTGAACAACTAATAAGACATAAAATTACAATAAGACCCTTACTTTAACTTAAAGTTCAGATAGATTGCTGTCAAATTTCTAGTTTTTTTTTTCCTGGCTAGGTAATTGGATGCACTGGAATACTCGTGTTGAAGAATATGTGTATCCTACTAACAGTACTCCAGAATATGGATCTATTTTGGTTCCAAATGTTGACAACGTGAGAACTGATTTCCTTATTCATACAATTGCAAAACAAGGCAAGGTAATACTCTCCTGTTCCATACTGAGATGTTAGCAGTGCTTTAATGAGACAGTGACTTCATTTTAAAATGCTTCTGGAATTGCTATTAGACTGTTAATTGTCCTTATGAACCAGGTAAGGATCAAATGTCTACAGCCACAAAGAAATCTTGGAAGCTCAATACCAATTTGAATGTTCACATTCAATGCAGTTTTGCTGAATTATTCTATTTGCCCTTTTGAAGTTCACTCTATTCCATCTTTCAACTTTTATTATTTGTCTTTAATTTTTAAAGTTTAGCCGAGACTGTCCTGATGGTCTTGCTTCACTTCAAGATTAAAACAGTTCTACCAGTAAGAATCTGTAAATATTCTAGCCTTCATTTCCCACATGAAGAAAGTAACAAATTGTTTGTTTATTAATGTCACAAACCCTATTTTGGTGTTACAATATTAATATTGTCGGTGGAACTAATTTTACTTTGATTGTGGATACACCTTGCTGCAAAAACTGATGTACTTCTTCATTATTTGAAACAGTTTTGAGATCTGAGCCTTTACTCTCATATCCCTACAATCATTTGAATTCACTTTTCATCTTCAGGCTGTTCTGCTAATTGGTGAACAAGGGACTGCTAAGACTGTCATCATCAAAGGATACATGTCAAAATATAATCCTGAAAATCACATGACTAAGAGCCTTAACTTTTCATCAGCAACCACTCCTTTCATGTTTCAGGTGAAACTTAGCATATATATACATATTTTCTTTCCTACAGAAACAGAGGTGACTTTGTAACTCATTGAAAATGAGAATAAAAATCAATCAAAAATATCACCTTTAAAGCCCTACATGGCCTAGGACCCGGATATCTGCGAGACCGTCTCCTGCCACATACCTCCCAACGGCCGATAAGATCTCACAGGATGGGCCTTCTCCGAGTGCCGTCGACCGGACAATACCGGCTGGCAACTCCTCGAGGGAAGGTCTTTCTCTGTAGCTGCTCCGACCCTATGGAACAATCTACCCCCAGAGATCCGGACCCTTCCCACTCTCTCGGCCTTCCAAAAGGCCACTAAAACCTGGCTATTCCGGCAGGCCTGGGGCTGTTGATTTTATCCAGCCCCACTCT